ATTTTCAAGTGTTCCAGGTCCACGGCTGGTTTTCGTTTGTGGCCACGCGTAGATCTGCAAACCTTCCGTTGGTGGTGTCCGGTAGAAGCAGTGGTACCGCGGTCGTTAAAGCCATTGTCCCGGCGACGGTACCGCGGGCATTTGAGGTCGTTGCCGCGCTACCGAAGTCCGTTGGGCGGTTACCGTTTTTTCTTAATTCAAAAGTTTGCGTGCGGAGGGAGGGGAAGGGCCGGGGTTGGGAGGGGTGGGTGGTGGTCAGTTGGGGTGCACACGACAGCGTGAGTGCTGTTGTCTGTACTACTAGATAACGGGACTCAACTCCGGAGCCACACTGTCGACATTGCCTCCTACTTCGCTCTGCGAGCACTTGCATGGCCGACCATGTGAGGAAGTTGATTTTACTCTGTCTCCTCCTCCTCGTCCTGCTCGTCATCGTCCTAGTGCACTTCTGCTCATTGTTGCGGCTCCATCATCTGCCTCGGAGGCAGAAAACAACAAAAGTGGTGAAGCAGTCCGGGCAAAAAAGACGCATGGTAGGCAGTGACCGGCACAAGCAGTTCTTGTACGGCATGGGGAGTGGGGGCGATCAACGGCTGTCGGACATGCCTCGTTTCGACCCGGCCCTGTATGCGCACCTGCCGCCGTGGCAACAGCCACTGCCTTACGACGAGTCTTGGGAACCACCATCGTCTGCCGTCCCCTTGGCGTACAGATCGACGCAGTCCATCTCTGACTGTGGGATGCAATGATCAGATCTTCGTCAGCGGCAAGGACCCATGGCATCTCTCCTGATGCATGGACAGCAGCAGGGCATGGGACCGCCTCTCGAACTGCAGCTTTCATCTAGGGGGCAAGCGACCGTATCGAGAACTTTGTTGGTCAACCCCAGTGGCCTATCTCAAGGCGAGCCCTCGATCGGGTGCGAGGGACAGCGATCGATCAATGTCGGGGTGCAGCAGCCAGATCAACCAGTGAATAACGGCGGAGTGGGCAGGCCACTCCCGAGAGTTCCCAGCGGTGTTCGGGGGAGGGCTGCAACGACGGGGGGGCGAGCGGAGAGCGGAGAGGCGAATGTGGTGGAACACATCATCGCACATGTGTCCACAATGCGTACAACAAGTAATGGTGACGGAGGTGGGGAGGGCGGGGTTGACAATGACATGTGTGAAGACGTGGATGAAGTAGAGGAGGAGGAAGAAGCGGAAGAGGAGATGGAGGACGAAGTTTCCCCGCCCTCAAGCGGCCGCAAGAAGACACTTGCGAAGAAAGCGACTTCGAAGGGGCGGGGTTAAGGGAAGGCGGGCAGCGGAGGGCGGACTACATGGAATCTGGACGATTCCCTCACTCTTGTCCGTTGGAAGCAGGATCAATACGAGGCCTTGGTGGCCGCTGGACACAACTTCGCGCGCATGAACAACAAAGAATGGAAATGGACGAACGTCGCCAACCGCATGGGGGCGTTGGGGGTGAAGAGAGATTGGGACCAGTGTATGAAACGGTGGGAGAATATCTTCTCGTGGTACAAGAAAGTGCAATTGAGAGAGAAGGAGTCAGGCAAGCAATCTTTCTTCACTCTCACGCCAAAGCAGCGAAAGAGGAAGGGTATAAGTTCCAAATGGATTGTCGTCTGTTCGAGGCGATCGATGCGGGCGAGCATGACAACCAGACCATTCACCCACCGAATTTGGTGGATACCGGCGTGTCTCAGCTGAAAGGAGGGGGAAACGGTGGGGGAGGAGAAACATCTGCGAGCGAGAATGGGGAGGCGGGCGGAGGGGAGGGATCATGAAGCAAATCATCCGGAGGTTTTAAATTTTCGAAAAGGAAAAATGCACGCCAACAGGCATTCGAGGCGGTCACCGATGTGATGAACGCACACTCTACCGTCGTTGCAGATTCCGTGGACAGGGCGAGCAAGAGACAATGCGACGTGTTGCAGTGGCCGTGTGATATAATGGAGAGGGAGGTGAAAGTGCAGGAGACACAGTGTGAAGTGTTGGACGCAGGGCAGCGCATGTTGTGCGAGGCGTTGATGAAGATAGCGGAAGCCCTGGCGAGGCCTTTATGGCTTCTTAATGTTCCAGGAGTGGCCTCCGCACAACAGCGTTATCTTCTTCTTGCGAACTATTTCCATCTCCCATGGAGAAGAATGAGCAGGGGTGCAAGGTGTGTGAGTGTGGGGGGGGGGGGGGGGGGGGGGGGGGGGGGGGGGGGGGGGGGGGGGGGGGGGGGGGGGGGGGGGGGGGGGGGGGGGGGGGGGTCTTAAATGTTGGGGGTGGTGGGGGTATTGGGGTTGTATATTCGGTTCGATGTTCCTCAAGTCAGCGTGATTGTTTTTCATGTATCTGGACATTTTTATTTTTTCTCGGCTAATTTCAGCCCTCGCCTTGTTCACCACTCACGCCGTGTTTTCCTCTATTTAAGCAATGCTTTAGTCCTGTCTCTTATACACATCTAGATGTGTATAAGAGACAGGCGTTGTTCACCACTCACGCCGTGTTTTCCTCTATTTAAGCAATGCTTCAACCGGTTTTACGGAAGGCGTCTGTGACGTTCCACCTCCTGATGTTTCTTTGCAAGGCGCCATCACAACAAAGCGGTCATTCCGAGCAGGACGTACGCGGGGGCCTAGCGGTGTTTGAGGAAGGGGAACGGATGGTTGGTTGGCGGTGTGTGTTGAAGCGGGAGCGGGTGGGTGAGATTTTCATAGTACGTGCTCGCACCAGGGTAGGTCGATCGCCAATTTGCTGTTTTCTGCGCGGCATGAACATCGTCATAGCTTGCAGGGGCTCGGTGTTGGGCAGGACAGTCATGTTGTACGAGTTCAAGCAGAGGAGGGGGGGCGGAGATGGTCGCCACGTGGAAGTCGGCGATGTCGTAACTCATGAGGATTGACGGCATTATGAAGTGGATGCCGACGGCCGGACTTGTTTGCGGTTGGCTGTCCATCTAGGGTTTGCACGTCATTTGCTGCGCGATGTCGTGATCTTCGTGATGAAGATCGGTTCCGCAGTGCCCAACCGTTGGACAAGGGGTGTCGATGTCACAGGGGACATGGTGTGAATGCTCGTCTCCGTGCTGGCGAAGGAGTTTGAGGAGCGCCTTCACCGCCCATCCACGTTTCGAGTTGTGGTCGATGCGCCGCTAGAGCCCAGAGACGATCTGCACAGGGATGTTCGCATCCTGCGAGATGATATCATCTTTTGAGCTTTCCTTTGCAGAGCGCCTTTTCCGTCTTCGTTGTTTCCATAACTGGATAGTGGTTCTTTCATTTTTGCGAAGTATTCGCACACGCGTGCAGAGAGAGAAAGAGAGAGAGAGAGAGAGAGAGAGAGAGAGAGAGAGAGAGAGAGAGAGAGAGAGAGAGAGAGAGAACCCGTTATGGTTTACGGAAAGACTAGCCGATAACCGAGACGTAGTGGAATGGTGTTTGAGATTTGCGATGTCCAAAGATGGTTTCCAACTTTCGAAAGTGTGTTATAAACAATCATATTCTCTCATGCTCACTGTGTTTTGTTACACTACGTACAACGTAAGTCAATGGCATGCTCTTCGTGTTCACTACATTTTTGTTTGTTTTGAAAGTGCTATTCGCCTTTTTTTTTTTTTTTTTTAGTGACGTGGATGTGAATGACCACATTGTCAAACGAAATTGAACACAGAATAAATCACACCACGAAAGACAGAATTGGGCAAAGAGTGAGCGACGCAAACACAAAATCGAAAGGCCGATTGTCGACCGTGGTACTAGGATGGAATTCATAAATATTGAAAGCCACAAGATTTGAACCAAGGACAAGCCGCACCCCCCGATTCCCAATCACATCGCGACGGGGTTAAGTCATTGTAATCTTAAAAGCAACCTCATCAGACTTCATGTGCAAGCATTGATTGCCTTCGCCGATAGACGAAAGGATTGACTTGCACCTCCTACATAACATATAAACGAACAACCAAATTCACCCGCACTAACGGACCCCGTTCAACCCCCTGTCATGTGCCGAGCGCTACGTTGAAATGGCCAACCCTACCGATTAGTACGCCGCCGACAATGACCCTATAACCCTAAGCGCGGTGACACGTGTCCACACCCGCGAGACAACGCCGGATAAGCGATTGGCCATATGAACTATTGTAAGAGCTGCATGCGGCGAGTTAGTGTCGCACGCAAGTCCAGCGTCGCTTCGCTCGCATCCGCTTGCGACACCAGGGCCGGTGGTTCATGCATGCCCAGATCGATCGGCTGGTCATTCCCGTTCGCATCTCTTTCTATGAGCAACCGCTGGTCGAAGTCGATACTTGCCTCAATGAGCAGGTTGTGGATGATGCAAACTGCGGTGAATTGCTGGGGCATGTTGTCCATGTTCGTTTTGTGGTGCCTGAGGAACAAACGCCACATGCCCTTCAACCGCCCAAACGCTCTCTCAACGACGTTCCTTGCGGTCTTGTGGCACGTGTCGAAATACGCCTCGTCATAAGGCTGCATTACTCCGCCGTAAGGCACCACCAACCTTGGCAAGGGGCCATACCCATTGTCCCCAAGCACGTAGCCCGTTGTCCGCGCCCCGCCAGGCAGGGTCACAATATCTGTCGTGAACAACGTGCCTGCCTCCACACGCCTGCGGAACGATGAGTTCCACAACACCCTCGTGTCGTGGACACTGTCGGGGTACCCAGCGAACACATCGATGACGCGCATGTCCAAATCAACCACCACTTGAGCCACGACCGAATATTATTGTTTTCAGTTATAATAATTCTCCGACGGCGCATTGGCAGGTTTATCGACGTACGCGTGGGTGCAATCCATGCAGTTGTAGCAGTTGGGGAAGTCTTTCGCTCTGAACGCGCGAGTAACTTGGAGCAACCACCGACCGGTTGGCATGCATATCTTGTCAGGGTACGCCGACAAGATGGCATTCATGACATCCCTCACAGCTTTGATCCTATACGACCTACCCATGCCGAAGGATGAGGTTGCACGGTCGAAGGTCTCACTAGACAACCACCTGTAAGGAGCAAACGCGACCAACTGCTTAGGAAGCAAAGGACTGCGGTAGTGGGTGAGCCGACGTTGAAGAAAGGGTGCACACGCTGCGATGATCTCGTGGAAGGCGCATCTCGTCATCCTCAATTTCTCATGATAGTAGTCTTCAGTTGCATCATCGTCGATGATGAGATCATGCCAATTGCCCCCTGTCCTCCTCCTGACCCACCACCTTGGCGTGTCCCTCGGCAGCACTCCTGCGAAGATGGCATTAGCCATGAGGAATGGTGCATCCCAGATAATGGCAGATGACACTGAATCCGCCATCACCTGCGTGACAACGGCCTCCCTCGACCCAACTCTTCTGGTCGTCCGCTATCGCAACCCATTCGTCGTTTGCACGTGCCTGGACACTGCCACCAAAGCTGCCACCACCAATCGATTTTCCCGTTCCGTCAGCCCGCCTCGTTCGCCCTCCTCACCGCAGCCTGCCATGGCGTCAACCTCCATTTCCCCCGTCAACCCTGTTGCTGGTGACGATACAGCCCACACTCTGGACCACCCGCCGCTTGCACGTACACGATCGACCGAAGACAGTGAGGTTTCAGCGCTCGAACATGTGGCTATTATTGTCGCCTTCAACAGGATACCTTGGCCGTCATCATTTTGAAAATTTGAAAAACGGCGCGGTAGCTTCCCTCGGACGACGGTACAAGCACCGATCCCTTGGGCCCGTGGGCCCGCCTGAAGACGGCCATTTTTTCGTCCAGGAGCAGCAAGACTGGATTTCACACCCCACACCATCTCGCCGTGAAATGGGGGCCCAGGCTGTTTTCGTCTCAAGGGTGCTGATTTCAAGGGCGGCCTCTAGTGCACATGGAACGAAAAATCGTTGTAGTGTAAATTAATTACAATTTTGTAATAAGGGCACCCTTGAAACTCAAGAATTCTCTAGTGGTGTGGAAGGAGGCTCTTACACGAATTAAGCGATATTGACCGTAGATTGCAAAGATCAACGGCCAGAAAGAATCTCTTAATCAGTGCAGGTGGGGCCTTGCCCCGGGGCCGGTCGGTCAAAGAGAATCGGTCCACTTATCCGTCTAGTATCCCACCTCTACAACAACCTGGGCTGAAAAAAAAAAAAACCATTAAAAATTAAAGAAAAAAACGAAACGAAGACGGTTATGGTCCAACAAAGGACGTTGGATCTCGAAAAAAAAAAAAAAAAAAGGACGTTGGGCCTTTTTCACATTTATTGATGCATGTTGTGGCGAGCCCCATTTCACCACCACGTCTGGCGAGTAGCTGCGGCGTGGCCCTATTATGTATGGGCTTTTTTTTTTTTCTTTCAAATGTGCAAAATGAGAAAAAAGAACGTTGAAGAAAACACCCTTACTGACTGCAGCTATGAGAGCTGAGGAACAACTTTCACAGGCTCTAGAAGATGGACTGGGTCAACCCCTTCGTGGACTATTACCCGTCAAATGACAAGATGAGAGGGTGCAGGGGGGGGGGGCGGGAGAGGGGGAGGAGGAGGGTACAACTGCAATGACTGGAGGAGTCCAGTTCATGACCGAGATATGGGGATGGGTGATAAGCAGGAACCTGCTGATGAGAGAGGCTTGAATACCTCCAGAGGATATACAAAGTATTACAAACCAATACATGATCAGAACAACAAGACAAGCCACTTGAGAGGGGTCCTGTGAACGACTACAGTAGAGGAGCAGATGGTGGTCGTACATCTACTGACGATAGGTTGGAACCTCTAGGTCGTAAATAAAACAACCGCAGTACAACCACAAGCCACTGGAGAGGGTTAAAAAAATGACTAAGGTAGGGGGCGCATGGTGAATGTACACGTGCTGATGATAGGCTACAACCTGTAGGTTGTATTAACATCATGAGTTGAACAACAGATAACAACTTTGTGAGGTGGGTATACCCAGGTTAACCATTGGGTGTCATAGGTTAGACCTTGGCTAAGGCGGGCATAGACAATGTTTATGACGTGCGTGAGTAAATCCTTACACTGGGGGGGCTTGGTACCCATTCGGTCCGTAGAAAGGATGCTTAAACCACCAGTACGTCAAACTCTTGTCAGACCGACCCCCTGGCTACCGGTACACCGAAACTTGTCGAACCTTTGGCTACCGGTAGTCCGACAAGAAAACTAAAACTGAGGGGAAAAAAAACAACGATATTTTTCGTTAAAAAAAAAAGACTAACCCGCTTTCCTTTTTTAGCGTGCAGGTGCGTGTGTGTGGGAAGAAAGAGAGAGAGAGAGAGAGAGAGAGAGAGAGAGAGAGAGAGAGAGAGAGAGAGAGAGAGAGAGAGAGAGAGAGAGAGAGAGAGAGAGAGTCCGTGGGTCTGGCTGCCAGACGCGCCGTCTGTGTGTGTGTGTGTGTGTGTGTGTGTGTGTGTGTGTGTGTGTGTGTGTGTGTTCGCTCATTGTCCCTGATTATAATAGTTGGGATAAGGACATACCGATAGTGAGGAATTCGTATAATCATTCAAGACATTCTACTCCTGGCATGACCCTATGCAGGTCAGATGGCCAATTCCCAATCCTATCGACTACTTACTGCCTGATGAACGCATTGGTCTGGCCCTTGGCATATCTGTGACGGTCAAACCTCACGCCCTGCTCTGTCTTTGGGTCGGAGTGATAAACTGTGCGGAATAGACCCTGAAAGAACAACAAAATGGGGTGTGCCAAGGATTTTTGGGAATATTGAGAGTGGGGCCACAGAGAAAATTCAAAGCCCCCGTGCGATTCCAGTTTTAATGAGAAAGGACCATAGCCGCACGGGAAAGATATGACGCACGCTACTTCAAACGTTCGCCTAATCCAAAAAATATCTTTTAACCTCCGTGCGGACTACTTGTCGGCTTTTCGAACGGAAGGCGGGGGATGCACTTTGGATCCCGTTTTCAAATAAAAAAAACAGTACCGCTCATTACAGAGTTCGGAATCCGACGTGGCTCTTTCCTTGAACTCGTCTTTGCCATGTGTCCGATAGTGGAACCTTTTTTTCTGATAATGCTCCGTGCGACAACAATCGCTACACATAGTGTTGGGCCAATGAGGCGCTACTGTCATCCACGGGATGACAATCAATTCGTTAAAAGGCAATAATAAAGAGTACGGGGGAAAGTGTGTGTCGATAATGACAAAACCAGCGCCTACGAACCCCAAACACCTTGTTTCGGAAGGAAAATAATAGCACACGCCGAGCTTCCCGTACTTCCCACTCACATACAAATGTCCTTTCCTCGTAATACGAGAATGGTCGCAATGAGGATACAGGAAGTCGGCACCCCGTCAGATCAGGACAATCGGTCCACATGGCATAAGCGACACGGATCGCGTAAGTCCTCTCAACCATTCATTCAATCAAAGAAGTAAACAGTCGCAATGCTACGTGTTCTACTGCCTCTCATCCATTAGGTGAACCGATCAAAAAAAAATGTGAGTTCGACCCAATCAAAACGACAATCATTATTCATCGAGTAAGTGGTGAGCATGCATTCACATAATCTCAGCAAAATCTCAACTTAGTTAGCCCAATCGATGCATATATGTGATAGATCGCATATACACGAATCCTCAGTTGTCAAGAGACACATCAACAACGAAAACGGTAACGTCATCCGGGTTTACAAGTCCCTCAAATTCAACAACAATCGTTCATGTGAGATTTGATTGAAGTCAACGGGGACGAGTGAGATCGGGGAAGCATCAGATTATTCTTGCATCCATTAAATAGACAGAAGCAAAGGAGAGAGAGAGAGAGAGAG